GACACAACCTGAAACACTCCATAATTGTCCTTCAAGAAGAATAGGGTACAATGTTTTATTCTTAGGTAGGGGGAACTTTTGTGCTTTTATCCCCAGGGGAGCTGGGGGGAGGGGAGCAGAAGGGGGAGGGGAAAAGCAGCTCTGGTATGCAGACACACTCCTAGTGGTCCCGCCTTGCCCTTCTGCTATGGATCTCTTACAATTCATTCCTCTTCCAGAGCTGCTTTTCCCTTCAGGAAGATAGGGCATCAGCAGTCTAAGGCTGACCATCAAGCTATGGGTTCTCTAAGGGAATGGGTACCTGCATATTTGGAAGGCCTGTGAGGGAAGGAGCCTTGGTAAGAAGGTGGTCTACATAGCTCTGCAAAAGCCCCACATTCCCACAGAACACAAATCTACACACAGTTCTCAGCCACTGCTGTGACCATGCCATTACTATAATAGAACTAACCTGCTGTCCTGGGTCTGGAGGTGGTGTGGAGTGTGGGGGGAGAGGGAGTGGCTCATGTTTGAAATACTTCTAATTTTCACTTACTGCCTAATTTATTTGGGGTTGTTAAGGAGCAAACCCAGGGCCTCATATGCTTTACCACAATACATGATAGTCCCCTTGCCAATTTTGTTTTGTTTTGCTTTTGCTTTTGCTTTTGCTTTTGCAGGGTCTCCCTATGTTGTTTTAAATCCTTGGACTCAAGCAATCCTCAGATCTCCCATCTCAGCCTCTCAAGTAGCTGGGACTATAGATACATACCCCTGTACCAGTGACAGTGCATTTTTAAAAAAGATGATCTGATATAGTTAAAGCAACAATGTTTATGAACTTAAAGGAAGAGCAAACAAGAATTCAATAAGCCCTATAGGACTTTAACATCTGCTGCAAAGATTTGTGTGTGTGTGCACGTGTGTGCGTGTGTGTGCTGTGTGCGCACGCATGTGTGCATGTGCGCCCGTGCCCACACTGGTCCTGCAGCTTGAGCTCAGGGCTTGGGTGCTATTTCTGAGCTTCTTTGATGTAAGGCTAGTGCACTACCACTTGAGCCACAGAGCCACTTCCAGTCTTTTCTGAGTAGTTTATTGGAGAAAAGAGTCTAACGGACTTTGCTGCCTGGGCTGGCTTCAAACTACGATCCTCTAATCTCAGCCTCCTGGTTGGATTACAGGCATGAGCCATCAATGCCCAGTTACTGCAAAGACATTTGAAAGAAGTCAGGCAATCGTAGCTCATGCTTGTAATCCCAACTACTCAGGAGGCTGAAATCTAAAGATTGAGTTCAAAGCTAGCCAGGGCAAAAATATCCGTGAGACTCTTCAGTTAACTCAAAAAGTGCAAGTGTGGTTCAAGTTGAGTTTCAAACTTGAGGTAAAAAGTTAAGGGACAGCACTCAGGACCTGAGTTAAAGCCCTAGTATCAAAGAAAATAAAAGAAGGAAAGTGCTGCTAAACTCCTCGGTTTCCACCCCTGGTGTTGCTCTAGTGGGCGGGAGGAAAGATGGCTAATCACAAACCAAATGTGAGTGCTTGGGAGAATCTCAGCCATCTGTCTCCGCTCTTAGTCCTGAGGACATAGCCTTCTCTGAGAATTTGATAAAAGCTAGGAGCCATTTCTTTTTAGGTACAATTCAGGGAGCTAAAATCTTTATCATGAGGCTGAGGTTGTAGCTCAGTCCCCAAGACATAAGCACATCTTCCTGTGTGTGAGGCCCAGGTGTTCCGTTCCACACCACAAAAAAAAGGAAAAGAAATGTATCCTAGATCCTACTCAATTCGCTTTCATATTGTAGTTAAAGATTGTGATTTTCACAGTTAGAACATGCAGGAGTATTTTCATGATGAGGTCATCTACAGATAGATTATATTTTACTCTGAGCTTCTCTAACAACAATTACCTGCATCCATTACAGAGCCTTGGAAAAGAAGGTATTAGATAGTCAAAATGCTGGCACTGTTTTTGTTATTGTGCTGGTACTAGGTCTTGAACTCAGGCCTGGGTGCTATCCGTTAGTGGTTTTCTTGTTCTTTTTGTTTTTGCCAGTCCTGGGGCTTGAACTCAGGGCCTGAACACAGTCCCTGGGCCATTTTGTGTTCAAGGATAATGCTTTACCACTTGAGCCACAGCGCCACTTCCGGCTTTTTTCTTTTTGCTTATGTGGTGCTGAGGAATTGAACCCAAGGCCTCAGACATGCAAGGCAAGCGCTCTACCACTGAGCCACCTTCCCAGCCCACTTCCAGCTTTCTCTGAGTAATTTATTGGAGATAAGTATCTCGTGGACTTTTCTGCCTAAGCTGGCTTTGAACCCTGATCCTCAGCCTCCTGAGAATGTAGCTAGGATTACAGGCATGAGCCACCAGCACCTGGCACCGTTAGCTTTTTCACTCACGACTGGTGCTCTACCACTTGAGCCACAGCTCTACTTCTGGCATCCTGGTGATTAACTGGAGACAAGAATCTCACAGATTTGGGGCTGGGAAGGTAGCTCAGCGGTAGAGTGCATGCCTTGCAAGCATGAGGCACTGGGTTCGATTCCTCAGCACCACATAAACAGGAAAAGCCGGAAGTGGCGCTGTGGCTCCAGTGGTAGAGCGCTAGCCTTGAGCTGAAGAGCTGAGGGCAGCACCCAGACCCAGAGTTCAAGCCCCATGACAGGCAAAAAAAAAAAAAAAAGAATCTCACAGATTTTCCTACCTGGGCAGGCTTCAAACAGATCTCAGCTTTCTTTTGTTGTTTGTTTGTTTTTTGTTGGTCGTGGGGCTTGAACTCTGGGCCTGAGTGCTGTCCCTCAGCTCTTTAGCTCAAGGCTAGCGCTCTACCACTTGAGCTACAGTGCCACTTCCAGTTTTCTGGTGGTTTATTGGAGATAAGAGTTTCACAGACTTAGGGCTGGTAAGGTGGTTCAGTGGTAGAGCGCTTGCCTTGCATGCATGAGGCCCTGGGTTTGACTCCTCAGCACCACATAAGCAAAAAAGAAAAAAGCCAGAAGTGGCACTGTGGCTCAAGTGGTAGAGCGCTAGCCTTGAGCTGAAGAGCTGAGGGACAGCGCCCAGGCCCCACGACTGAATCAAAAAAAAAAAAAAAGAGTTTCACAGACTTTCCTGCCTGGGCTGGCTTTGAACCACAATCCTCAGATCTCAGCTTCCTGAGTAGCTAGGATTACAGACATGAGCCACTGGCGCCCGGCAAGATCTCAGCTTTCTGAATAGCTAGGATCACAGGCCACCAGAGCTGTCAGTGCTATTTAAAACACACATTTAAACAAGATTCTGATTGCTTAGACAACTTTCAAACTTTGCCAGTGGTTCATGTTAGGACTTCCAGAACTCTTTAAACCAAAAACAGGTGGCTTCTGAAGGTAGCAGAGGGTTCCAAGGGAATCATAATTAATTGCACAGGGCTCAACAAACTGATGAGGGATGATTATGGTTTGAAATATTGATGCTTTTTTTTTTTTAAATTTTTTTGGTCCAGTTGTGGGGCCTGAACTCTGGGCCTGGGCGCTGTCCCTCAGCTCTTCAGCTCAAGGCTAGTGCCCTACCACTTGAGCCACAGCACCACTTCTGGCTTTTTTCTTTTTGCTTATGTGGTGCTGAGGAATTGAACCCAGGGCCTCAGGCATGCAAGGCAAGCACTCTACCACTGAGCCAACTTCCAAGCCCCGAAATATTGATACTTTTAGTACTGTTTTTCATGGATACATAGGGGAGCCTCTTCTCTCTCTCTTCTTAAGCTCTTTGTAATCTATGACAATGATTTAGTAGGCTCTGATTTTATAGGCTGAAATGAAACATTAAAAAATAGTATCTTGCGGGGCTGGGAAGGTGGCTCAGTGGTAGAGCGCTTGCCTTGCATGCCTGAGGCCCTGAGTTCGATTCCTCAGCACCACATAAGCAGGAAAAAAAAAGCCGGAAGTGGCGCTGTGTCTCAAGTGGTAGAGCGCTAGCCTTGAGCTGAAGAGCTGAGGGACAGCGCCCAGGCCCAGAGTTCAAGCCCCACGACCGGACCCAAAAAAAAAAAAAAAAAATAGTATCTTGAGCCAGTAGCCAGTGGGTGGCTCATGCCTATAATCCTAGTGCTCAGGAGGCTGAGATCTGAAGGTTGCAATTCAAAGCCAGCCGGGGCAGGAAAGTCCATGAGACTCTCATTTCCAATTAAACACCAAAAAAGCAGAAGTGGTGCTCAAAGTGGTAGAGTACTACCTTTGAGCAAACAAGCTTAGGGACAGCACCCAGGTCCTGCGTTCAAGCCTTACTACTGACAAAAAAAAAAAAAAATCTTGGAGGATTGGGAATATAGCTTAAGAGGCAGAGTGCCTTCCTAGAAGTATAAGGCTCTGAGTTAAAACCCTGATGTTATGTATTTAATCTTGGACTAAGGGTATTATAACTCTATGGTAGAATACTTAGAATATACAAAACCCTAGATTTGATCTCTACACTGCAAAAAAGTAAATTAAAAAAATTTTTTTAGATTTGATTCTCATTGGACCATCTCTTCCCCCTTACCTGGAAATTTTCTCTATCTCTGCCTTGCATGGCAGTATAGTATTTACATCAGTTGGCATGTTATCAGTGTCCTTTTTACTAGTCTGTAATTGGAAAGGTTGGTTTTGCAGTCAAGACCTTGCCTTGTATTTGAGAATGATGCTCATTGAAATCCTTCTAAGGAATAAGTTGGACAACCATAGAGATAATGCTGCCAAAGCCCCTCCAAGAACTGAGGTTCTAAACCCAGTTTACAGAGCTCAGTCTTTTTTTTTTTTTTTTTTTGGTTAGTCGTGGTTCTTGAACTCTGGGCTTGGGCGCTGTCCCTTCGCTCTTCAGCTCAAGACAAACACTCTCCTGCTTGAGCCACAGCGCCACTTCCAGTTTTCTAGTGGTTTATTGGAAATAAGAGTTTCATGGACTTTCCTGCCTGGGGTTGGCTTTGAACCACAATCCTCAGATCTCAGCCTCCTAAGTAGCTAGGATTACAGGCGTGAGCCACCGGCACCTGGCCAGAGCTCAGTCTTGTAGGTGGAGAAGGAAGGTCACTTGCCCGCAGGCCCAAGGATCTTGGATATTTGAGGATGCAAAAAGAGAGGAATTTACCCAAATTTCTTGTTAAAATTTCCAGCACATTTTAAATGCCTACGTGGTAAATTAGCATTCTTGCTATTATAATTAGGCTAACCCTAAAGAGCATCCTTAGTTTACAATTAACCTTTGTTTGAGATTATTATTAATATTATTAGCAGTTTCCTGCTTGCTAGGCAGGTGCTGTAGCCACTAAGCCACACCGCAGCACTTTTCTCATTGGTTATTTATTTACTTGTATATGTATTTATTTTGCAGTATTGGGGTTTAAATCAGGACCTTGCACTTGCAAGGCAGATGCTCTAATACTGTACCACACCTCTAGCCCCTGCACTAGTTTTGTTTTGTTTTTATTTGTTTTGTTTTGTTGTAGGGCTTGAACTCAGGGCCTTGGGTGCTGACCCTGAGTCTCTTTGTACTTACAGCTAGCTAGCTCTACCACTTGAGCTACACTGCCACTTTCGGTTTTTGAGTGGTTAATTGGAGACAGGAGTCTCACAGAGACTTATCTGCACGGGATTGCTTTGAACCGCAATTCTCAGATCTCAGCCTCCTGAGTAGTTAGGATTATAGGCGTGAGTCACTGATGCCCAAGCTTGCACTAGTTTTTTGTTTTTTTTTTTCAAAATTTTTATTGTGTTTAAGTGGTTACATAATCCCCCAAGTTTCACAGTATTGTGGGATAGTGATGCTTAGTTAATGTCACAAACACATTCTAACTTTCATGGGGCAAATTGTCTATCATGCTCTATAACATGTGTGAGTTATATGAACTTTGCGATACAGTTATTTCTTCCACATTGGGTGATATGTACATTTGTTTTGCATAGCATCAGCTGTTCCCTCTTTCCCACTTGTTCCCTCCCTCCCATGGCTGCCATTGAGTTGCTAAGTTCATTTTGGTCAATGTCCAGTGCAGCTGATGGGTCCCGCTGTTCTATGTTTTTCCCTGATTCCCTCTAGTTCTGTGTCGTCCTCCTGGTTTCCCTCCTGTGTGCACATATATATCATACATGTGATCAGCAGCATGGGGTTATCTAGTAGTGCTTTGACCAGATGAGTGGAAGTCCTTTGTTTCTTAAGTCTTGTTAATTTTGTCGTATCACCTTACATTTTGGATTTAACATCCACTTATCAGGGAGACCATGTGCCATTGGTCTCTTTGCTCTTGGCTTACCTCGTTCAACATGATGCACTAGTTATTTTTGAGATAGGTCTCTCTATCCATGAGTATGCCTCAGCCATGATCCTCCTATATTATGATGACAAGCTCATGTCACCACATCCAGCTTTATGTAAATATTTCTGCCCCTTGGCCGCTTCTCAGCCTCCCACTTACCTGGGATGACAGGATGGATGTCACTGTGTTCAGTTATTGGTTGAAAATGGTATTTTAGGATCTTTTTGGGGGACCTGGGCTGCCTTCAAACCTTGATCATCTCAATCTCAGCCAAGTAGCTACTAGGATGAGTCATACACCCATCTTGAGGGTTTTGTGTGTATGTGTGTGTGTGTGTGTGTGTTTTAAAATCAATAGAGGTATATTTGTTTCCTGTTGCTGCAACAACTTGTCACAAACTTGGCAGTTAAAGCGAGTCAAATTGTGCAAGAGATGTAGTTTAGTAGTAGAGTGTTCAGTGGTTAGAAGTATGTGTTTAGCATATACTGGACCCTGGGATTGTTTGCTCTCCAGTACCACAAAACACATACACGCACACACACACACACACACACACACACACACACACTTATTATCCTATGGTTCTGGAGGCTAGAAATCCAGATTGGATCTCACTGGGTAGAAATTGTGGTGCTGGCTGGACTATATTTTGGTCGTAAGGGAACACCCATTTCCTTGCCTTTTCTATCTTTTAAATCTGTCCTAAATTGTTTGGCTTATGGCCCCTTCTAATTTCAGAGCAAGCAATAGGTGGTCAATAATGCCATCTTGTTATGATCCTTTTTCTTGGTCACTCATGGGTCTTGAATTTAGGGCCTTGGCACTGTCCCTGAGCTCTTTCGCTCAAGGATAGCACTCTACCACTTTGAGCCACAGCTCCACTTTGAGTTTTCTGGTGGTTAATTGGAGAAAAGAGTATCATGGGCTTTCCTACCAGGGCTAGCTGTGAACTGCAATCCTCAGATCTCATCCTCTTGAGTATCTAGGATTATAGGTGTGAGCCACCAGCACTCAGCTTTCTGTTCTGCCTCTTGTCAACCACTTTTGGGCCTATCCTATCCACTTAATCCAGGATAATTTCCATCTCAGGTAACACATGCATATCATCCCAACAATCACAAGAAACTTAAAATAAGAAGATTGAGGCTCAGCCTGGAGGAAACTGAGACCCTATCTTAAACTATAACCAGTGCAGAACCAGACTTGAGGCCCTGAGTTCAAACCCCTGGGCAAAAGAAAGAGAGAGAGAGAGAGAGAGAAAAGAAAAAGAACAACCAAGACAGAAAATGTAGTTTTGAAGCTCAGAGTCAGCCCACCAACTCTTGCCTTTTCCACAGCTAGAACAAGAGACCCCAACATTCCCCTTTTTGGCTTTTGCTAACTGGGTTACTAGCACCCAAAGAGCTTTCTTTAAAGTGAACAGCACACATTAGCATATCTGAAGTCTAATTTACATCACAATTGCCCCCCCCCCTCTCTCTGAGCTTCAAGTATAGAGGTCCTGCTCCACTTCCTGGCTCTGCAGCTCACTAACTTTTCTTTGACTAACTTGAAATGTCTTCAGAGGAGGAACTGAGAGCTTTCCTGGAAAGTTGGGGTTGGTTGTGAATGGGATGGTCCCACCTACATCACCACCCCTGTATTGACAGAACCATTTTTTGCTCTAGGCTAGTGCTCTACCACTCGAACCACAGCTCTAGTTCCAATTTTTTTAGTAATTCATTGGAGGTAAGAATCTCATGAACTTTTTTGCCCAGGCTGGCTTCAAACCATAATTCTTAGATCTCATTGAGTAGCTAGGATATAAGTGTGACCCACTGGCACCTGGCAGCATTTTGCTGCTTATTTTGGAGATGGATTCTTGCAGACTTTCCTGCCCAGGATGGCCATGAACACCTATCCTCTGATCTTAGCCCCCTGAGTAGCTAAGATTACATATGTAAACCGCCTGTGACAGTCTAAGTGAAATTAATTTTTAAGTTTAATGTAACTGTGTGTGTGTGTGTGTGTGTGTGTGTGTGTTTGCGTGTGTGGTGGTGGTAGTCCTGGGGCTTGAGCCCAGTCTTGGGTGCTATTCCTGAGCTTTTTTGTTCAAGGCTAGCCTTGACTACTTAAACTGCAAGATTTTCTTTTTCTTCCTTTCTTTCTTTCTTTTTCTTTCTTTCTTTCTTTTTTTTTTTTTTTTGTTGGTTATGGGGCTTGAACTCTGGGCTTGGGCACTATCCCTCAGCTCTTTAACTCAGGGCAAGCACTCTACCACTTGAGCTACAGCGCCACTTCCAGTTTTCTAGTGATTTATTGGAGATAAGAATCTCAAGGACTTTACTGCCTGGGCTGGCTTTGAACCATGATCCTCAGATCTCAGCCTCCTGAGTAGATAGGATTACAGTCATGAGTCACTGGTGCCCAGCTAAACTGCAAGATTTTCTTAGCTGAAACTATCCCCTTTAAGCAAACTCCCTCTGTCTATCCTCCCTCTGCACTGGACATTGACACCACCGATTAGCCTCCTATCAACACAGCCCACAGTTTTGGAAAGAGCCTGAGACCAAGGCCATGTCAGGTGCTGATGCCCCTGGCAGACACAAATGTGTTAAAACCTGGAAACTACTCATTCAAAATAAGATTGCTCTCCCACCCTACCTCCTCCATCTCTCCCCCCTTCTATCTGCCCTGCCTGACTTTACTTTTTCTGCCTAATATTGAAAGGGACCTAGTTGTAAAGGGGTACTCCATTTCCCCTTCAGTGAAACTGAGGGATACTTGTTTGCCCTTCCCAGGTTTTCAGCCTGAATAAAACCTGTTGGTCTGTTGAGTTCACCTTTCTGCTCTTTTCTTCTTCTTACAGCAGATGTCTGCCTCCATTCTTGCTTCTGATGAGAGAATAATTCAGGCAAGAGTCTAAATGTAAAAATGATAGGGACATGGTAAAGGGCAAAGAAATATTTATCATGTGGCTCAACTGATCACCAGTTTTCTTCTGGGCATGTGTAATAGTTGGAGAAAGGAAACCTCCATGTGGTTGTTCAAGCAGGAGGGAGTGTATTAGCAAAACCAAACTGTCAGCCTGCACAAGATGTGTGCAGAGGAGCAGACTTATGGCAGGGAGAAAGGCTATATAGGGAGAGGGCGGGGAGGAGATGTAGCCACAGAAGATGTGGAAGTGACCTCAGAGCCTGAGGTACCTCCCACTGCCCCCAGATGAGCCAGTTACCTGGGTTACAGGTGCTAGGTGGGGTCTTCTAGAGAGGAGAAAGAGCCATGTTTCCCTGGGGGACCTAACATTCCAGCCTTTTGATAGTTATAAAGGGATATTGATTCTCTTTGGCTACTTCTTGCTGGCTAGGGGCATCGACATTAGGGGTAGAAGTTGGAGATGTCATCTGGTCTAGGAGAAGGTGGTAGTAAGAGTTCCATGGTGGTGAATGTGCATATGTGTCTTTGGATGAATCTGAAAGAAGTCTTAGGATGTAGGGGCTGAACAAATAGAAAAAAAAATATTAGAAGGCACACAAACAGCAGAAGTAAAGGCAACCATCCTTTCAAAATGGAAAAAAAAAAAATGGATGACTTGGCTAGTTCCTATCTTCTGAGTTCTAGGCAGTCCTGGAATTGGTAGACCATATCCCTAACCACTCCTGATTAACATCTGGCAACTGGGTTTGGGAGAGAATGGTGGACTGGTTAAGAATAACTAGTCAGCCAGGTGCTGGTGGCTCACACCTGTAATCCTATCTATACTCAGGAGGCTGATATCTGAGGATCATGGTTTGAAGCTAGCCCAGGCAGAAAAGTCCAACTAGCCACTCAAAAACTGGAACTGGCACTGTGGCTCAAGTGGTAGAGCACTAGCCTTGAGCACTAAGGACCTCAGGTACAGCATCTAGGCCCTGAGTTCAAGCCCCACAACTGGCAAAAAATTTTAAAAAGAAAAGAATAGTTAGATGTGGCAGGGGGGGCTGAATTGGAGTTGTTAAAGGACCTATGCGAGGCCTTGATTTTTTTTCTTTAACTGTTCTATGGATGTCTGGACTATAGAGAATGGATGGGAGACCCTGGAAGGTTCCAAGGCAAACTGTCCTGAGTCCAAGACTCACTATAACTAGAAATAGCTGGTAACAAAGGCAAGAATGTAAATTCCTGACCAGTTAGAAGAAGGACAGGTATGAGCATTGGATAGGCATGCTTATTAAGTATTTTCTTTTGATCTCCCAGCCCTAGTTAGTTTTGAAAGGGCAAACAGAAAGTGATTTTATTTAGGATCTGACACCATCCCCTCTTTTCTGCACAGTTCTTCCAACTGGCTCTGGATGGACTGTCATTGCCAGCACTAGCTCTGTCTGGGTGGGTCTAGGAGGTGTCTTTCTGGGTTGGCATTTTTACTAGTTACTGGGATGATATGTCCCAGTTGACTAATGGCATGTCCCACATTGATTAAATTAGAGGGTTTTTGTCTGATTAAATTAGAGATTTTTGGTTTTGTTTTGTTTATTTCCAATTGAAGCGAAAAGGAGATCAATAGAAGTAGTTTTTAAGCAGGGTTTACCTGAAACTTAATTGAAAATAGACGTTAAGTTTGAACAATAAATACTTGCAAGAGTTATCCTTCTGTGAGTCTGACTCAAATCTGTAATGACAAAATTCAATAGTGGTCATAATGAGAGTTTTGAAACAGCAGCTGATTAAATAATCTAGTTAATTTCTAACTGAATATGGCACTTTAGGGTACTAATTGAGATTAAAACCCATTGACAGTTCCGTGTCCAAGATATGTTACATACTTGGGAAACAGACATTAGACACATTTGTTCACACCTAAATCTGATGAGCTTCTTTACAGTTTAAAACTGTCCTTTTTTTCTTTTGGCCTGTGGAGCCAGTTAAGTCTTGGTTACCAGAAAACGTTTAAAATTGTTTTGGTAAACAGACACATTAGTAAAAAATGGACCATTGAATACTTGCTATAGAGTAAGGGAAGTGTGCCTGGTGGAAGAGTGGGGGCCACATGAAAACCCACCATGTAGCCAAGATGGTGAATTTCTGGACAAGTCACTATGATAAAAAAGTAAAAATGCTTTATTAAGTAAGCAAGCAGACAAGCAGACAAACACAAGCAGAAAGGATCACACGAACAGTGTGTGTGTTCTCAAATGGAGGAAGAAAAACAGACAGATTGAATGACTACAAGACAAGGAAATTTACCTTTCCCGAGGAGATGGCTGGGAGGCTTATACCTACCCCCATCCTGTGTCAGTCACAAAGGCCTGGCAGGCACAGGGATGAAGGTGAAGTGTTACCAGATCTTTCACAGATTTTCCTTCTCCATTTTTCTGTTAGCTCCCTCCAAGGATGGGGAGTGTGGCTCTCAGTATTCTGGCATTCTTCTACCACCTCCCACAGAGAGACAGCTTTTAGGCCAGGTTATGGTCCTCAAAGCTGGTGCAGCATAGATGTTCCCCAGGGCAATCTTTGGGGGTACAATGCTCCCTTCATCCTAAATGAAGGAAAGCCTTCATGGAGCTTCTTGTAATGCCCCATTCAGGACACAGGGCCAGTGAGGGAAGGAATGAGGCAGCCAGGAACCACAACTCTGAGCAGGAAAGAAGTTGGCTCCCAGCTTGAAGAAGTTTGGCAAGCTTCCGGTGCAGGAAGGGAAAACATCCTTGATAGTCTCCCACAGCAAACGGACACAACCTGGTTGACAGAGAATACCAACTCTTCACCCAGAAAAGGCCAAATCTCCCCAGAGGAAAGTGATTCTCATGGTGGAGGAAGAATGTCTGCTTTCTGATATTCCTCAGACTAGAGCTTCAGCCTGGAATAAAGCCCTGGCACTCCCTTCCCCATTTGAGGACCCAGGATGGCTTCTTTGCACACTGGCTTTTCTTTTTCTTTTTTTCTTTCGTCAACTTAAGACCACCTAGCAAATACTATCACATGAGCCATGCCTACAGTCTAGGATGGTAGGGTTTTTTTGTTGTTGTTGTTGTTGTTGTTGTTCTGGGGCTGAGAATTAAGTTCAAGGCCTTTTGCATGCTAGGCAAGCACCCTAACTTTGAGCTACAAGCTTAGCCCAGCCCAGCCCTTTCCTATTCTTTAAAGGTGGGCTAGGCTAGCCTAAGGCCAGCTAAGAGGAAGACAGCAAGAAGCCCTGAATTCAAATCCCAGTACCAAAAAATACCCCCAAAATACAGAGAGACAGACACACAGAGACAGACACAGAGAGAGAGAGAGAGAAGGAGGACGATAAGGAGGAGAAAAGGACATTGATTATAGTTAAAGTAGGGAGTTTGAGTCTGACCCACACTATCTTGGCCACATGGTGGATGGTAGGTCTGGCATCTTGTCTTCATGGTAGGAGAAGGTGAAGCCTTCCCCTCCCAGATGATAGGCATGCCTAAATCCTTGGAGGCAGGGGTGGGCATTTCACTGATAGGTTTCTAAATCTGTCAGACTGAGAGTTTCCTATGACCCTTCCCCCTGACCTGACCCTATTTATGCCTGACCAGCTCAGGTGCCGTGATATTATGCCACATGTCTCCGTGGTCTTGTCCTGTCTCATGTCTTTTGGCTCTTCTCTGGTTACTATGGCATCTGAATTCAGCTCTCCACTGGATCTGAATTGGTTTGTTGGTATTGTTTTTGTTCTTTCTTCCCTCTCTGTCCTTCATGGCTCAGTTTTGTACCAGTGTTAAGTATTTGTTGGCTACTGGTCTTTGAGACAGGTGTCCACCATGCAGTTGCCAGCCTTTTAATCAAAACACCAAGATTCAACCTCTCAAAATGTGGCTCCTCTGTTTTCTCACCTTATAACAGTAGCAAGTTCACTTTACAAAAACACTAACAGACAAGTTGAATGGTACAGTTCCAATCACCAGCACTATTTTTTATAATGGTACAAAGCCAGCTTTTGGTGGCTCATGCCTATAACCAAACTGCTGAGATGGCTGAGATCTGAGGATCTTGGTTTAAAGCCAACCTGGGCAGGAACGTCTGTGTGAGACTCTTATCTACAGTTAACCATTAAGAAGCTAGAAGTAGAGCTATGGTAGAGCAGTAGCCTTGAGCACAAAGCTCCAGTACAGCAGCCAGGCCCTGAGTTCAAGAATCTTCAGAAGGGCTGGGAAGGTGGCTCAGTGGTACAGTGCTTGTCTTGCATGCATGAGGCCCTGGGTTCAATTCCTCAGTACCACATAAGCAGAAAATGCTGGAAGTGGCACTGTGGCTCAAGTGGTAGAGCGCTAGCCTTGAGCTGAAGAGCCCAGGGACAGCACCCAGGCCAAGTTCAAGCCCCACAACTGGCAAAAAAAAAAAAAAGGAATCCCCAGAACTGGGACACACACACACACACACACACACACACATTCAAAATTGCTTTCCTGCCATGATTTTGATTTGTCAGTGTGTGGAGGTGGAACTTTTGAGATGGCTTAGTGAAGGATCATGGGACCCCTGACCCTGGAAAAGGTTAAGGAAATTCTTACTAGAAGGTTGTTATAAAAGGAGCTAGTCGGGCTGGGAAGGTGGCTCAGTGGTAGAGCGATTGCCTTGCATGCATGAGGCCCTGGGTTTGATTCCTCAGCACCACATAAGCAGAAAAAGCTGGAAGTGGCGCTGTGGCTTAAAGTGGGAGTGCTAGCCTTAAGCAAAATGACATCAGGAACAGTGCCCAGGCCCCAAGTTAAACCCTACACACAAAGGCGCCTACCTGGTTCCTCTTGATTCCAGACATGACCACTTGGTCAATAGCCTATCCACACCCTTCTGCTGGTTAGTTGTTGATAAGATTCTCCCAGAGCTGGGCGCTGGTGGCTTATGCCAGTAACCCTAGCTACTCAGGAGGCTGAGATGAGAATCTCTGGTTCAAAGCCAGCCTGGGCAAGAAAGTCCACGAGACTCATCTCTAGTAAAGTACTCAGGAAAAGCTGGAAGTGGCACTGTGGCTCAAGTGGCAGCTAGCCTTGAGTACACAGAAGCCCTGGGACAGCACCCAGGCCCTGAGTTTAAGCCCCTGGACCAGCAATGAATAAATAAATAAATAGATAAAAAGAATCTCTCAGATTTGTCTTCCTAAGCTGGCTTCAAATTTGATCCTCAGACTTCAACCTTCTGAATAGCTAGGATTACAGGCTTGCACCACCAATGAATGCTGTATTTGCACTTTTTTTTTTTTTTCAGTTGTGGGACTTGATCTCAGGGCCTTAGTGCTGTCCCTGAGCTCTTTTGCTCAAGGGACTCTACCACTTTGAGCCACAATGCCACTTCCAGTTTTCTGGTGATTAATTGGAAATAAGAGTCTCATAGACTTTCCCACTTGGGTGGCTTTGAATTGCAATCCTCAGATCTCAGTCTCCTGAGTAGCTAGGATTAAAGGCATGAGCCAGAGGTGCCTGGCCTGTCTTTACAATTTTTTTGTTTGTGTTTTTTTTGGTCAGTTGTAGGGCCAGAACTCTGCACCTGGGCACTGTCCCTTAGCTCTTCAGCTCAAGGATAGCATTCTACGTCTTGAACCACAGCTCCACTTCTGGCCTTTTCTGCTTATGTGGTAGAGGAATTATGCAGGGCAAGCATTCTACCACTGAGCCACCTCCCCAGTCCTGTTTTTGTTTTTGTTGCCCATCCTGGATCTTGAAATCAGGGCTGAGTGCTGTCCTTCAGCTTCTTTGTGCTCAAGGCTAGTGCTCTACCACTTAAGCCACAGCTCCACTTCCATATTTCCAGGTTTTTTGGGGTTTTTTTTTTTTGTTTGTTTGTTTTTTGTCAGTCATGGGGCTTAACTCTGGGCCTGGGCACTGTCCCTGAGCTCTTCAGCTCAAGGCTAGTGCTATACCACCTGAGCTACAGCACTACTTATGCTTTTCTGAGTGGTTTATTGGAGATAAGAGTCTCGAGGACTTTCCTGCTTGGGCTAGCTTTGTTTTGCTTTGTTTTTTTGTTTTTTGTTTTTTGTCAGTCATGGGGGTTGAACTCTGGGCCTGGGCGCTGTCCTTGCGCTCTTCAGCTCAAGGCGAGCATTCTACCACTTGAGCCACAGCGCCACTTCTGGTTTTCTAGTGTTTTATTGGAGGTAAGAGTCTCTTGGGCTTTCCTGCTCGGACTGGCTTTGAACCTCAGATCTCAGCCTCCTGAGTAGCTAGGAGTACAGGCTTGAGCCACCAGTGTCCAGCCATATTTGCAGTTTTTAAAGCAGAAAAATATAACCTGAATACCCAGAGTCTAGAGTGTAGCTCGGTATTAGAGTACGTGCTCAGCATGCACAGGGTGCAGGGTTCAATCCCTCACAAGAACCCAACAATTAAATGCAGCATGTGTCTGTCTCCCTTGTGTCTGCCCTGGGTCACTGGGATCTCCCAGGGCTCAGTTTCCACTTGAATAAAGTGGGCCTCTCCAGGGTCCTTCCTGGCTTTAACAATTCATAAGTCTAGGGACATCTTTGTTAAACCAAGGAAAGCGTTCAGAGCCTGAGTCTGACAGCCCAT